ATCTTGTAAAATGTTCAGTTTCTCGCATAAAGGTGAGTGAGGTTTACTTTGTAATTTCAGATTTTGTTCTGTGAAATAAACAATAACTAGTTTGTTGTTAAATCTCTTAGGTGGCATTTTCTCTCACTTTTAAGCAGATAACGCATGGGCAGATATAAGAAATATTGTCAGTGCGTTGCTTCACCACAATTCAAGATGGGAAATGGTTATATGATCCTTTTAACCTTGACTTRTAACACTTCCACATAGAAGATACTACACCTATGCAAACCTATTAAAAAATAGACTTGAGTTATTCATTATATATAAGAATACAAGAGGGAATTATATAAGAGGGAGTGTATTCTGGGTACCCTTTTCTGTCTTTGATCCCTTTTTGCCAGTCCTTGACTCTGCTCCTGTTCCTCCTCACATGGCTTGTATGCATGAAAATATAGGAATCATTTAATTTTTATGTAGGCTCAGATTCACAAAGCAGAGGAAAGTGGATACGCTGATAGCATTTGCTGCTGTTTTTGTCTATTACAAAGAGGCTGTAGAGTTCTTAGAAAAACCTTTTCCACACTGTCAAGATTCATGAAGTGAAGAAGGCCTGAAAAGTGAGAGCAGCAGGAAGCACAGATTGGAAAACCTCCTGACTGAGGCTGAAAATGATGTTAAAGATGATGCCATTGCTGGTTTCAAATGTATGGAGAAGGTCTGCTTTAGGAAGTGGTGGTGATGGGAAGGTGAAAGGGATAGAGAAACCAGAATGGTGTCAAGAGACCCCGAGTGCAATCCCACACTCGTTATGCTACCAGGTGTGCAGACCACAAGTAAGTGGTTAGGTGCAGTTTTTGCCCAAGAGAAATTCAGTTCTGGCCGGAGGCCCTGCAGAGCTTTAAGGCTGTGCATACTTCCAGATAGCATTCTAACACATAAACACAATATTATTGGAAAGAAGATGAAGGGTGAGGAAGGAGATCTGCTGCTTTGGCAAACTCAGCAATACACCTCAGCTAATGCAGATCAGCAAGAGAGCCCAGGTCTCTTCAGGTTGTCCTGAATAAGTTTATTATGAGTTTATGAGTTGAGGAGAACTGAAAACTCCATGTCATCAGTAGCTACGAGAAGGTGCAGCTGCCTTTGTGAAATATTGTGTCTTTGCTACTGTATTTATGAATACAGTAAAAATAGAGAAAGTTCGAGCCTGAAGCTCTATTCTTAGTCTACCGATGGTTTTCAATCCTGTGCCTATTCTTTTTAGGAAGAGTGTAAATAAAGATATGAAGAAGTCTCAGAAAAGGAAATTTAAGCTACATAATTTACTATATTCCCAGTAATGCAATGCAAAGGAACTGAAGCAAGTTTCTCATTAAAAATGGAGCCAACATGGAGCCAACGGCATTAACGGCACAGGAAGTGAGTAAGTTTCTGTTCCGTAAGCTTTAGATAAATCCCAATGCTTAGGCACTAGAACAGACTGTAATAGCAATTGTCAAATGAAAGGGAGAGAAGCTAGCACACCATAGCCAACATCTAATTAATGTTGGATTAAATAGAAGACTTTTCCATGAGGGCTTGGAATGGTAAAAGGGAACATATGAGATTTCTTCTTTTGTTATTTTATTTTATTTTATTTTATTTTATTTTATTTTATTTTATTTTATTTTATTTTATTTTATTTTTTATTCAGTATCTTGCAGTGATGGACACTCATTCATTAGGCACCTGAATACAGGAGTCCCTAGCTCCTGACAACGTTATTCCTTTGGTTAGGCTTGTAAGGAAAATGTTCACAAATTTTCAAGAATTGTTGATAAAGTAGTTCCAAAATTACTCTTCTCTTTCCATAGCTAGATGTTATTTCCATCTTCCCTGGACAGAGCTGTAAGGGAAGTAATGGAATGGTTTTATCTAACATCACTTGAGTGATCGGGCATTATTTTCTATTTTCCTGTTGTTCAGCTGTGAAGTTCCTGAGAAGTAATTGTTACATAAAAAAAAAATGTTTCTAAGACTTGGATGAGCAAATTATCCTTGTTGCTGCATTGACAGAATGATTGGCAATGACTCATGGATGCCATGTAATTTATTGCTTAATATATTTTAATCATCAAATCTTTCATCTGTTTTTTCCTACCAACTCTTATTCCTGTTCAGATCGATCAGTTATCATAGAATTATCATGTTGCTCTTATGATCGCCTATTTTGTTTCTTCAGTGGATGTCAACACATATGGAAAATTTAAGCCTATCTGTTGTATAAAAAACCATTCACAAACTAATGTGGATCTTGCTTTTTTGAAATTTTCTTGCTGTAAAAACAAAAATAATTCTTGATGAATAAGACGAAATGGAGGGCCTGGGCTGACCACTATAATACGTACCCATAATCCAGTGGTTCTGCCAAGATCTCTTGTATTTACTTTTGAAAGAAAAGAAAAGAAAAGAAAAGAAAAAGATGTCATGGAAACACCACATGAAAGTGCAACCTGCCTTATGATCCTCGTTCCATCTGTTTGGAGGAATAAAAAGATAGTTTGCTCACTTTGTTTACGTAGTCAGGAATATTCCTACTCAGTTTTCCAGGCTTTTGAAAAGATTTTCATGTTCCAGGCTTTTGAAAAGATTTTCATGTTCGGTTGGCAAGTTTGTGATTGTGGCATATATTGGAAATTCTGGGTTGAAATTTTGGGTCAAGTTATATCAGGGTAAATAATCCTAATATTCCTATCTAGACTTAATATCAGTCTTTGTAGAAATGCATCGTTTAACTTTTGTAGGCAAGCATCTACTAGAACCGGGATTGGCAGCCGCCATTTGTTTCTATGGGCAGCTGAAGAATGCCATGATGACAGTGGGCTGCAGCATGTGAAAATCTGTTTCACGTGAAACAAATTCAATTGTTTCAATGGGCATGTGAAAATGTTGCTCATTGCTAGGCTTCTGGATAAAACTGAGCTGAATTTTCATTTCCCCTTTTCTCCAGAAGAGTGCAGACTTCAGAGAAAAGGTGGTGAATCCGCACTGTGCGCGCAGAATTTCCTGCCCGAGCAGCAGAGACTGGCAGAGGAACAACGCTGCATCAGCATTAGACCCTGCAGCCTTTCTTCCTCACCACTTCTGGGCTTGCAGCCTATGCCTTGCTGTGTGGAAGACATCGGAGGACATCCCAGCAGCTGTTAGGTTTCCTTTCCCATTTTCTACTGTGTAGCAGGAGCTGTTCAAATGTACAAACACTAAGGTGAAGTTGACCATGGAATGGTTTGCTCTTTTCAGTCTCTCTCAGCAGGTCATTGCTAGCAATTCTTCACCAAACACTAGACTTTCTTCAGAACAGGACTAGCTTCTCTTTCCCTGTTTTAGTTGCATTTGTTCCCTCCTTGTGTCTTTCAAGATGCTGGAACATTGTGTATCCTGTCTGCAGAGCAGAAGCATCAGACATCATGTTTCTCCTGACTAGTTAATAAATACAAGTATTTTCTCCATCCTCACATCTGAAGGACCCCCCCCCCCCCAAAAAAAAAAAAAGAATTGTATTAGTGAAAATTTGAAGTGGCATAATCAAACATTCCCATGGTAGTGAATACCAGACTGGATACAGTCATCTTCGCGCGTGCATGATAATACACTCGTAATTGTTCATCAGCTTCCTTGTCAAGACAGTCCTAGCTTTTCTCCCATTTTCCTCAGCCTCCTTCTCTTTCCTAGTTTCTGGTCCAGCTCTACCTACTTGACTTACATTTTTTTAACTCTCACTGCTGTAATTCATATTCTACACCAGTTCTTGTGTACCTGTTTCACACCCAGTGAATTATCCTTGTGCATCTGAGTCAGAGCAGTAGTAGAGGTGGGATCCCTGGCCTTTATGCAGGTGTCCACTGTCCCTGTTTCCTACAATAACAGTAGTTTTGAGGGAAAGTCTTTTTTGGCGTCTTTAGCTCCTCAAGAATCTTAAAAGGTGCTCACAGCAAACACCATATTGGGGAAATTAGCCCAAACCTGCCTCTTCTTAATCTGTAGAAACGGAGGTTTTTCAAAGGCCTTTCATTGGAACACACTGAAGAATAGAAAAACCTACCACAGGAGTGTCTCTTCTTACCCGCCTCTCTCCATCTTTCTGATTTTTGTGCACATGATAAAGGTAACAGTTTTGTCAAGGTAAGCATCAGAACTTTCTCAGTATGGCTGAAGGACGTGCACTTCGGAGGATGCCACCTTTTATAGAACAGAGATTAAAAATGTAGGCCCTAATGTTTATCAGTCTTGTTTTACACCATTGCAATAACTGAAAATCCCTCACTTTTGCCATTAGATTTTATTTTTGTCGTAGAACTGTGTGGCTTCTTTGCAAGGTTTTGTCAACTGCTCCTTTCAGTTTGAGTGCTGAGCTATTGCATATAGCAAAGAATTGATCCAAAAAAATGGACAGGTGTCTTCTTAAGATGACAGGTCGTTTTTCTGCAGCTTTTCTCTTCTCTGTGGAATTACAGAGGTGGAAATTATTCATTTTTTCTAATTCCAAGATCAAAGCTACTTGATTACTTTTTTTTTGTCTCAGCCAATATTTCACAGTAATGTATTAAACTCTGCTTTTTTTTTCTTATTTATTGACATGAAGAACTTCCCCTTCTTTTCAGCCCTTATTTCCAGTAGAGAAACATTCATATCAGCTTCTTCATAAACGTAATGATCATAAATGATTAGGTACTTTTCCAGAAACACACACTGAAATGTGATCTCTTGCATCTAGTATTTCCAAGAAAGAAAAAACACACGTATATACAGCAGAGAAATTAGCTTAGGAAGCAAAGCTTATTCATTTAAATATTATTTCAAAATCGCTTATGTGACAAGATGCAGTTCCTTATTTACAACCCAGAACTTCCTTGTATCTTTGAAGCCTTAAAAACTAAGAAGGATTTGTTAAAGTGGTTCGGTACAGAACATTTTTCCTGCATGGCACAAATTAGTCTTCTGCATCAAACTGAGGTGAAAGASAGAAGAGAACAAAACATTTGATAATGACTGTCCATCTGCTCCTGATTTTTCTCTTTCCCCTTGCTACATGTCTTCAAATGTCTGGTAAGTCTTTGTCCTCTTCTGAGTATGGAGATTTGCAAGTGCTCTTTCTTGTGCCTTCCTGCTGTTCTTTTTGGTGGGAGTCTTGATCTGTTTGTGGCATGTAATTTAAAATAGTTCCATTCAACTCTTAAATTTGATAATACCTATACMAGCCTGGAATGTCTTTAAGCCCAAAAGCTACTTTTCCAAGAAGGGATATGAGTGAAAGAAATGTGCAAACGGTTGTCGATGCAACCTATAAAATGTTGATTCTTGAAAGTGACCTAGCTGAATGTGAATAAAAACTGGTCTAAAACTGCATTATTGGAAGTCAAAATAGCTCTCTCTCTCTAGTAATATACATATATTATATATATATGATATACATACAACAAAATAATAGTACAAGACAATGTCCTCTTATCATGCACAGAACTGCTGGTTAATGTGGTGCCTTGAATTTTCTTAGCACATGCAGACTATGGCATACTGATAGTTGCATGTTATAATCATTTTCCAAGCTGAAGGCTGATGCTGAAGGACACTAAAAGTTGCTCTCTGCTAGACTTCAGATGCTCCTGCTGCTGAGAGGAAAGAAATGCCMCCATGTCTGCAACTCTTTCCCTCAGGAAACTCCCAGCTAGAGAACTGGGGGGAGGCCAGTGCTACCACTTGAGCAGGAGCTCACCAACAGTGCTGATGTAATCCCTTGCAGAATAATTTCTTCTGCACATATTTCTGGGCAAGACTAAGCTTGTTTTAACTGGTCCTCTGTCAACCTTGTGGAGCACTGTTGGAAGAGGAGAGCTGAGCTTAGGGGGATGCCATAAGCTTGTGTGGTGGCTCCATAGCCTTTCATAAATGATGGCACCAAGGATGTTCTAGCGCTCCTGGCCCCCCTTATAATCTAACGTGTTATGAGGCCACTTTTAACTGTTTCACTTGCTCCTAGCAAGAAACTTTGGTAGCAATACGATTCAAMGGGACATGAAAGCAAGCTGTAAGATATTACTGTCATGTAGAGGGGGAGCTAAAGAATACAAGGCCATCTGCAGAAAAGATGAAGGTTTAGAAGAGGCTGAAGTTGGTAATGGAGTCCTTTTCCTGAAGCTGGTTACAAGAARCATTCTTAACTCTGTTGCACAGAGCCTCACATTTCTATTTAAAAGTGTTGCTATAAATGGCACTTAGGATTCTTAGTGAGCTTAACTACTCAGAACTGAACTGACGGTACTGGAAGTTGTGGTTTCCCTCCTAAAAGAAAATCACAAGTTGAACTCTACAAACCGTTTGTTCAAGGTTGCGAAAAAATCCAAACTAGTTAATTAAAAATGAAAAATGATCRGCTTATTTGAAGAGCTGAAAAACAAGATGTACTTTTGGCCAAGCACAACAGTGATAACATTTTGAGCATGTAAAATATTTTTAATAGCTCAAAAGCAAAAAGGACTTTTATATGCAAAGTTAAAGCCTGTTTAATGTGCTGTGTGATAGTGGAAATTTGAGGATCTCAGGAAATTTGGTATAGTTCATTTTTGAATGACATTTTGAGAACATTGTGGTTTATGGAGAGTTCTGAAGAACAATTTCCCTTGAATTAACTATATTTTCACTTTGTTTATATACACCTCAATAACATTTTAATGAATATTTATAATGGTAATACTTCTTCCTCACTTTCTTTCTTTATGGAATAACTAACTATTCACTTTTTGATGTGGCAAACTGCCAGATAGTTACCAATAGTAACCAACCTATCTCCTATTTGATCTCTCCTTAAATATCTGAATTCTCTTTTTATTTTGTAGAGAGTGGAATATTTTCAATATACGATGAAGACAGCAAGCTCTGTGCCCAAGTTCAGAACACAGTCTCAATTATAACTACCACATGTGAGCAGCACAATGAGTTCCAGAAGTTCAGGTGGATCTCGGCCACTCAGCTGCTGAATGTGGGGCTGAAGCTGTGCCTGGGGGTGCTCTCCATGGACAATGATGCTATAATCACTTTGAAAGCCTGTAACAAGTCAGATGAACTTCAGAGGTGGGAATGCAGAAACGACACACTCGCAACCCAAGGCAATGATTTATTTTTCAACTATAGCAAAGGAAAAGGAAAGAAAATCAGGCTGGAGAAGGGATCAAGCGACGGGAGCAAGTGGAAAGTCTATGGAACAACAGAGAGTGTGTGCTCTCAGCACTATGAGGGTGAGTTGTGAAAATTAATCTGTACCTTCCAAAGTAACTTAGATGCCTCCATTTTTAAAGCATTCCACTGCCTGCTTGCCATCCTGCAGTCCCTTTTGCACAGTGACCTCAGTAGCAGAGCTGACTACAAAGAGGAGAGTAGAAATTCAAAGCAAAACTGTGCCTAATGTAAAGGGAGTAATTCTGTCAAACAGAAGTTAAAAAGGCAGAGGCCTCTGCTATAGTCTGATTGGAGGACAGGAATTCTGTTGGTTCAGCAACACCAGGAAGAGATCTGTAACTCTTTCAWAATCTATCATCTGATCCATTGGAGGAAGGAGAAGGGAATTCTGTTACATTTCATTTTTATTGTTGAATGACTTGCTTTGGCCATGCACTATTTCTAAAAAGTTTCTATATTTTTAGATTTCTACAAATGTGAGTTAAGCCTGGATTATCCATAAAAAAGAAATTTGTTATAGTTTTTGTGATTAACTTAAAAGTTGAAATTATTTCAAGAATCAATTTTGTATTAGAAATGAGATGGATATTCACAGCTATGCAGATCAAAGCTGAGGTTACATCTAAAAAACGTTATGTGCTGTCCTTAACTACCCCCTGACAATAATTGAAGAATAATGCTTTAATTGTTTAGAGTGCAGTAAGTAAGTTCTGACATGCTGATAGACGAGCACTAGAGACTCACATCTCTGTTTTCTTGCATTACTGTCCTTCTTGGGTTATGTAGACTTGGCATCTAGGCTTAAGCATCTAATTTTCTTTCTGCAGTGACTCTGGCAGGGAAGTTATATARTGAGGGATGAAATGTAGGCCTGCCCTACAACAGTTCTAGCTAGAATTAAGTTTGTCATAATTTGCTTCAGATAACAAATTACACTGCCTAGAGATGGGAGAGTCACTTCTCAGAAGAGTCAGTTCCAAATTTAAAATGTAACTCCTCATGAATACTAACAAAAACATCCCAAGCCTCCTCAAACATCCAAGAAAAAACTAAATCCCAAATATCAGAGGATGTTTTATTCAATTCATATAGAAAGGATTTTGTATTCAGTGTGAGAATCTGAGACATGAACACTTCTGGAACACTGCTTCAGAAAGAATTATAGCAAAATAAATTGGACAGAAATTACTCCGGGAGTCAAATGAAGATCGTTTAATTCTGGACCTTTATTCTGAATATCTTGTCCTAGTCATACCTGGTGCAACAGCCTTGGAAGACTTCATAGTAATTAGGTAATGATATGTTTTCTCTACATAAGCTGTCGCGTCACTCAGCTAAACAGCTGTATGTAGCTGGAGAGCTGGGGACTGCTAGGAAGTGCTGTTTATAAGCAGACACTATGACCAACATTTGATACCAACTGACTGCTGTTGTTCTTCATATCTGTCCTCAGATATGTTTACTCTGGGAGGAAATTCCTTTGGCGCACCTTGTGTATTCCCGTTCAAGGCCAATGGTAAATGGCATGCTCAGTGCATACCTCAGAGTAATGATGAAGAGACTCTCTGGTGTGCAACATCTTCAGATTTTGATAGAGACCAACGTTTTGGAAATTGTCCATTAAAAGGTAATTTATTCATGAAAAAATCATGAAAGGCATTAACTAAAAGTTYCTTTCCTTTTCATTGTCAAAATCAGAACATGGAAGTAGTATTGGACAACAACCTAGATTCAGGATATTCTAGTTTACTAGTGAGCTACGTAAGCAGAAATGAGGTAAATGTTGTTGGCTTTCTCTCTGCAACTGAGATGAGAAGTACTCTGCAGTACTTCAGGCAGAAACCAGTAGATATGGGGACCACAGGAAAAGCTATGGCCATCACCATCACCATTGCATAGGATGGTATTGGAACCTATAGGACAAGGAAGAGAAATTCCCTAAAAGTAGGGGAGAAGAAAAACAGGGCAAAAGAAGTGAAGAAAGAAATGCACTGAGTAATAGAGATAGGATATAGGAGAGTAGGAAGACAGTAAAATATCATAGCATGGAGCWGAAAATGGAAGAGTTGGCTTGAATGGCAGGGCACAGGAGACAGTCTTGAGGTCCAAGGGATTCTTATCCCTGGAAACTATTGAGGGGAAATTTTCTGTGCGAAAAAAAAAAAAAAAAACCTTCAACAGGAAGACCTAAAAGCTTCCCCCTGCTTCCTAGTTGACTGGAAAAGGTTGTTTCTGTGAAGCTAACAGGTTGGGGAGAATATAAAAGGAAAGCCTGAGGTAAGGTATCAAGTGTACAGACTGAGAATTTCTATATGAGAAGTAGGGAAATGTGTATGTATGGATAGAGCATACTGGTGAGTGGGTTAACATGAGCTGAAGTGTGGAAGAAATAGATGAGTTATGTAAATTTAAAGACCTGAAACAGAGTGAATGTGGAATAATCAGMTTTGTAAGGAGAAATAATTCCCTAGATTATTATTAATAATATTGAACAACGAGAATATATATAAAAGGGTCAAAATGTATGTGAAAGCTTAGAAAATCATACAGATACATAATTTTAATCTGCATTGAAGATTTGGTTTTCTACATTTCCAAGCAAGTATAGCTACCTTGTCAAATTGCTGTCACCATATTTTACAGATACCACGCACAATGATGTTTGGAAAAAAAGTCCTTTGACAGAAACCTACTATCAGATAAATTCAGAGTCACTTTTGACGTGGCACCAAGCAAGGAAAAGCTGCCAGCAGCAGCAAGGAGAATTACTAAGTGTCACAGACCTTCATGAAGAAATGTTTTTATTAGGTAAACAAAACAAAACAAAAAACTTGCATGTGGATAAAATGTAGGTCCAACTAAAGAATATTTCATGTGGACACTTATAAACATAAGGTTAAAAATCTTGTGAAAATAGGTCTTAGTGGCATCCTTAAAAAACCTGTCAATTTCTCACAAAATGTGTATAAAATAGCAGTAAAAAACATGTCTATATAAAAGAGATGTGTATTATAACACTTTGAACTTTTCCACATATTGAAATTTCACTTCAAGTTTTCTTCAGTATTTCCAGTGACAACAGAATCACATGTTTAATAATTTGTCTGTGTATTTCTTTTGAACATTTAGGACTCACTAGTGACCTGGGTGTTAATGCTAAGCTCTGGACTGGTCTTTTTAGTACGCTTGACAGTGGCTGGCAATGGACAGGGGGTAATCCTTTCAGATATCTGAATTGGGCTCCAGGTAAGTGTACTTTTCTGAAATGATCATCAGTATGTGGGCTAAAATTCTCTCTGTTGTYCAAATTTCTGTTATCTAATATCTTCAGTTTCATGGAATGATCACAGGTCCTGGGAGAACAGGGAAAACTAGGGTATTACAGTAATAGAGATTGTACCAAAGATGAATTGTCATTAATTCTAAATTTCCCATAAAAAGCAAATAACTTGTCCAAAAAAAATTTAAATATATGCATCTGCGCCTTCTTTAGTGTTTGATTTTCCATCCAGTTTTCTCATCAGGCATATTATTCAATACAAACAAAAAACTCTAGAATAATGAAATATGTTCTGAAGAGAAACATCACATAAAATACATTTTAAATTTTTCTCCTCAGTTRTTATTTACCTATGATATTTACTTGATGAATTTTGATATCTTAATAAGTCTCTGCTATTTTCTTAGCACCTAATTTATCATATAACTGTTGTGACTACTGGGAAAAAACAAAGCACAAGCGCAAAGCGTTCTCACGGAATTACATCCACATCTCAGTTTCAGTGTCTCTGTAAAGGAGGTTTAGTTGCTTGCRATTCTACCAGCACATATGAATTGTATCTTAACTCATCTTTTAAGAAGGTTTTTTTCTGTAGTAGTCCAAATGCACTGAATTTCTCCTCAAGAAGTACATGGGAGAAGAGGGGGAAATGATGAGGTATTCTCCCTTATCACCACCCTTAGGAATTCTCATTCTGAGGAATAATGCGACAAGGGCTTGGTGGGCACAAGAGACTTGGGCATTACTCCATGTGCTGACATAAAAATTAATTATATTCATGTTGGCATTGTCTGTATTTTGTRCCTTCCTAAAGGAAATCCCTCTGCAGAATCTGGAAAAATATGTGGGACCTTCCAAGGTAGGAATGGCAAATGGGAAAACCATGAGTGTAACCATAAACTGGGATATATCTGCCAAAAGAGAAACTCCTCTTCAGATTCCTCCACTATTGCCTCAAGTAAGTTGGTCAAAAGTAAGACTGGTTGGGCAGTGAGTGAGAAATAATGGGCAGTTGCTATTATTGCATATTTGAGATGACACTATATATAGTCTTCTGTCTTGCGTATTGTCAAAATTGTTACTCACATGGTCAACACTCAGAAGACCTTTATTATCTTATTAATTTTAAAGATGATACCTAGATATTGTTCAACAAAAGACCATTTTGAAGATTCCAGGGCGCTGAAGAAGGGAGAATTATTTGTTTAGTCACGTGATCCAGATAATGAAATACTGATGAATATTCTGTGGTCTGCAAAACACTCTAGAGCTGTGTCTTGCAAGATGTGATGCAGAGTTCATGCTCCACRTGCCCTCCCTGGCCCTTTCTGCTATTTTCTGGAATGACAGTTCCAGAATATGGGCACCTTTTCCCATTTGTGTTCCCTTTGGACCTGAGGCACATTCAGATCTTGTCTTCATTAAGAAAATGTTTTGCAGTTAGTTAACTCTGCACTGTCTCTGTCAGCTGCATCTGTACTAATATATAAGATTATTCCCTGACTCCAAGGATGAATGGGACACCCTACCAAAGCAGCTTACTAGGAGTGTTTTCTGGCCCAAATCTCTGGATTTATGCTCTGGGCTATGCAGGAGTAGCAGATGTTTATCAACAATTGATATTTCCAGCATAGAAAATCTTCAGAAATCAGAGACAAAGTTCCTGGTAGAAATAGAGGCTCCATTCTGGAAAATATGGCTCTACCCCTTGCTGAAAAGGATTGAGCACAAAGTAATGTCCTGTGAGGTTCCATGCCAAATTACTTCGCATTTATATTATAAAAGAGTCAAGAATAAGTAGTAGTGAAACAAATAAGTGTGTCAATACTGTGCTGACAGGAAAATATTCTTCATAATACACATTTATTTTTCTTCTCTACTAGTCTGTGCTCCAATATTTCAAGTATTTGTCGATACCAGTAATTTTCTTTTTGATTATAAGAAAGCACTGAGTAGTATTGCTCATTAATTTTTTTATATAATTTTTTTAGGTGRCATAAAGCCTATTAAATGCCCCAGAGAATGGGTGGCCTATGCAGGTCATTGCTATATAATTTACAGAACACCAAAAATATGGAAAGCAGCACAATCTTCCTGTAGAAAAGAAGGTGGAGAGCTGGCGAGTATTCATAATATCGAGGAGTACAGTTTTACAGTGTCTCAGCTTGGGTACAGTGAGTATTCCTGATGGTYACTCTTTCACTTGGAATTACAATGCTGATATTATAGATTTAATTGTAACTATAAGCTTATTAAAAAAAAAAAAAAAAAGTGATGGGAATGAGATTTCCTGCTCACTCAAACTCCCAGGGGTGTGAAGTRTGGTTTGTCCCTTTTAAGATATAACTACGTAACTGCAATTATGCTTGTGTTCCCAGAGGCTGACGATGAACTGTGGATTGGTCTAAATGATTTCAGGGTTAAAATGTATTTTGAATGGAGTGATGGGTCACCAGTGACCTACACCAAGTGGCATCAAGGGGAGCCAACTCACACACGTGATGAGGCAGACTGCATCATTATGAGGGGAGAGGTAAAAATTTCTCACATTCTTTCCTTCTTTCTATTGTCCACCAGGCACTTCAAAAGGAAAAAGTCAGTGAAACAAAATGAAGGAAAAATTCCAGCCTCTATTTTTTTTTAAGAGCTTAGTTTGATTCAGAATATCTTAGTGTGGTGGGAGCCTGGAGACTAGATACGGGAAGAGCAGAAGAAGCAATGCAGACCCAGTCTGCTCTGAAATCATTATAACAAATCCCCCATCTGAAATTGATTGAAGCAATTCACATACAACATGGCTGATTCTAGCTACATAACATGATTCTTGGTGCAAGGACATTCATATATTTCCCCCAAACCACCTAGCACATGTTTATTTGAGTCAGTTTGGAAGCTGGTCATAATGGAGGTACAAAAGAGGAAGTACAAAAAAAATCTACCTTATTCTATGCTCAGCTTAAAATGACATATCAGAATACTATGGAGAAAGGCTTATATCATGTATATTTCATGTTTAATTTATCCAAAGTTTCCTTTCTAGTATCATATCTAGTTTCCTATCTAGTATCATCATCTAGTATCATCTAGTATCTCCCTGCACTAGTGAGAAAGAAAGCAGCAGAGCATTTCCTAAGTGTTCTCAGCAGCCACTGAACTCTTACTGCATGCTAGACTAATTCCGAGATCTTTCAGGAAATGTATAAACCCACTGTATTGCGTTTCCTATTCTGCGATACTGGAGAAGGTAGCAAGGAAAGGAAGAGAGTTGAAATGACCTCAGCCAAATGTAGGGAGGTCTGATTCTCTCAGGGACTGGTAAATGTTCAGCTTGTATATGGAATTTTTTCAGACTTCTCTTTGTGCTCTCCTCTTATCGTGTTCAGGATGGCTTCTGGGCTGACAGTGTATGTGAAAAGAAACTTGGTTACATCTGTAAAAGGAAGCCTTTGGCAGAAGAATCAGAAGAAGCTGAGATTACTTACCCAGGCTGCCAGAAAGTAAGTGTAAAGCAAAAGCAGTGATTTATTCACGTTTTCACATCTTACTTTAACTCTCAGGAGATTTAAATTGTAGTCCTAAAAAATTGCTAATTTGTATGTATTGACACTTTTTTCTTCATTAATAGCCAGTCACTTCAATTCAGATCCCATACAAACTACTCTCTGCAGAGYGTGTCATTATATTTTTGTGCTGTATCCCACACGGTGCTGGTTGCCCATTCCCTCTCTCAGTTCAGTCTGCTACAAAAGACCAGGAATATTTGCACAAATTATTTTGCACTTTGTTTGTAGTAGTTTGTTGCAACAAGTAGGAGAAAAATAATAATGCCACTAGAGTTACACTAGGCAAAAGCAAACCAGGCTTTACACAAAGAATAAGTGCTCATGAACATGTATTTCATCTCCAAATCATAACCAAGGCCAAATGCTCAGGAAGACAAGGAATTTTTGGTCTTGTGGGTCCTTTATCAAGGAGGAAAAAAGAGAGTTACRGGAATTTGATTATTCTTTTCATTTTTTTTCTCACATTAATTTTAACTTAGAATTAAGTTAAAAGTAGCTTTTAAAGTAGAAGCTTTACTTTAACTACCTTTAAGTAGCTTTATTAAAGTAGCTTTTAGGAATGCATAGCATTCTKCAGTTTGACAAAACTTCCCATGTGTTTCTGCTGTTTACATTGGCAGGGCTGGATCAAGCATGGTTTTTACTGTTATTCCATGGGACAGGTACCAGCAACATTTTCAGAAGCAAAACAAACCTGTGAAGCAAACAGAGGTTATCTGGCTACTGTACAGGACAGGTATTATTATCACATACTAAGAAAGCACATTAACTTTACCGGATTTGATACTATGAATTGTTTGAAGAAATGAACAAATTAGGATAAAATTTTAGTTAAACGTGACTTTGGAACTTATCCTTCACAGGTATGAACAAGCATTTTTGACTTCCGTAATTGGATTCAATCCAGCAAAGTATTTCTGGATTGCTCTCTCAGACGTGGTAGAGCAAGGGACCTTCCAGTGGGACAATGGTGAAGCTGTTACATTCACTAACTGGAACTCAGGAATGCCAGGTACACACTGTGGAAACAGGACTGAAGAATTTCTAGACTATGGGCCCCAGAAGTTGGTTTTTCAACACAAATGTGTTGCTTTGAAACTCTTCTGTCACAAAGCTGTAGAAATGAAAGTACATTCCTCTGTTTGTACTAATGAAAGGGGAAGGTGGAATAGGCCATGCCTATGTCCCTATTGGCCATCTGGGATTAAGTGTGTCTGTTGGTATTATTTTCTCTCTGTTATTTGCTCATTTGACATATTGGTGCTTCACAGTATAATATTAGAGGAACGTGATATGAAATATATACGGGCTATTGGTGTCCATACAGAGTGGGGTCAAGTAACTTTCAAATAGACAGAACATGCTTTGAGAAGATGCAGATCTTTATCAATTAGGTTGGTAAATTTTATGTTCCATGAAGGAAGGGAGTCAGGCTGCGTGGCCATGACAACAGGAGTTTCAGCTGGATTATGGAATATTTTGAACTGTGAAATGAAAAACATGTTTCTCTGCAAGCAACTGGTTGAGGGAATGACCCCCGCTCCTCCTCCAACGACGACTCCTCTCCCGTCATGCCCAGAGGAGTGGCACTCCCTTCCTCAGAGCAGCTCATGCTTCAAAGTAGGTATTTAACTGCCTRTAATTTCTGCAATATGTGACACAGGCTCTAACTGTCCACTTTTTGTAGCTTTTCCAGAGGGAAAGGGAGAAAATGGAAACATGGTTTGGTGCAAGAGATTTTTGCAGAGCCATTGGAGGAGATCTGGCCAGTATYCATAGTGAAGAAGAACAAAATTTAATATCTAACTTGTGAGTATCAGCAAAACCTGTAGTTTAGATATAGGATATAACACATTATAAAAACAAACAAACCCACAAAAACCCCCAATCCCTCTATCTTTCTATAARATGTAAAAGATTTCAGATGATCAGTTTCTATTACACAAATATCTTTGTATTTGAATTGTGTATCTTTGCAAAGAAGTAATCAGGTAGAAGGATAAGCAAAAGGGTTTTCTAGCAGGTCTTTGAGAGAGAGTACTCTGTATTGAAGCTGCAGGCACATGTATAAAGAAAAAACAAGGAACATCAAAACTGATTTCAGTGGAGTTTAATTCAAAGAGACAAACTTTTTTTTTTTTAGCTCACCTGTAGTTGATCAGTGGATGAAATTGTTCTTGATTAATGGATTACTTTCTGTTGTAAAAGGTTCCTTTCTTTCCTTAAATAATAGGAAATATTTTGAGATTAAAGAAAATCTGACCTATTAACTCACTTACACATATGTTTAGCATAAGACTATGAGTACTGGCAGGTCTGCTTTCAGACCTAAACTACCTGGTGAAACCAAGGACTTAAAATGTATTTTCATTTGATTYGAAATTTGTGGTATGAGGAAATTTGTGATGCTTCCCATGAACTCTTCTTCACTGATTTTCTGTGACTCTGTTAAGTGATACTTCAAATGCCAAAATACTGAGAATGTAATGATACAGTTGTCTTTATTTTCCACTATGTCTGATTGTCCATATTTGTGCGTAATCATTCAGAGAAAGAAAATATCTTTACTCATCTTACTGGATGGGTTTAAATGCCCTGGATTCTGAACGAGGATTCATATGGAGTGATGGTTCACCGGTGAGTACATTTCTTGTTTCGGCTGTTTGTCTAATTCTCCTAATACATCCTGTTGCATTACCTGTCCTGTAGCAGCCACAAGTGACTCTAAGTCTTTTATTCTCAATCTCACTCTAGGATTTCGTTTTTATTTTTCATTTATTCATAATTATAGGTAACAGTATGAGATTTTTAGTATATTCAATATTATCAAAGGTGATTAAATAATTATTTGTATTACTAAAGCAAACTTACTTCACACTAATCTCTATGTTTCCATATGTCAGGAACTAGTAGAAATAACTTTATATGTCTAGTCAAGCTAAAGTTTGTTGTCCTCACCTTCTTAAGTATATTGAGGTCCTCAAGGCCCTGGTCAGTATAGCAGCACATATGGATTGTCTCAAGTTGAAACGTGAAAGCAGGATTCACCAACCCAGCAGTCACAGTATGATACTTGAATACTTCTCTTCAAAGCTTCACAGAACAACTTCAGCTCTCCTGATAACAAAGAGGGACCCAATTTCTTAGCTTGTTAACATGACTTACAAATACTTAGAAGAATCGTTACTCTATACAAGGGTCATGTCTTTCTCCTTCTAAGGTCTGGCACCATAACACAAGACTGACCTTGAACTCATAAAACTGACCTTGAAATCAAGAGAAATGTATTCTCCTTTAACAGAACAGACAGTTCTGATTTAAACGGAGAATTTTGATTTAAAAGAAAAATARTAATAGATTTTTTTTCCACAATAGGTAAATTTTGAAAAATGGTCAAATGGAGAACCAAACAATTATGATGGAAATGAAAAATGTGGAGTGTTTAATGGCTACAATAGTATGAAGTGGAATGATTTATTTTGTGAACATATGAATGCCTATGTTTGTCAAATAAAAAAAGGTAAGGTGACTTTCTTCCTTAAAAAGCTTGTAGATATAGATATGAACATCCTTTTCAGGTCAAATYGCACCATCTGCATACATGAAAGCCAGCTGTATCATCACGCACACTGAAGCACTTGATAATTTTCAATATAAATAAAAGCAATCTCAAATATGATTTTTTTTTCCATGAGATATGTATGTAAGTAAGTTTAGCATCTATATGGTGCATGATGAAAATGTGAAATCAAGTCATCTGAATTTATGCATAGTTTCTATGGCTTAATTATGATTGGCTGTGATATGGTATTTTGCTGGGCATAAAACATTTCTTAGTATATTCTGAAAAAATCTGTAATAGAAAAACATACTGAACTCTTCCTACAATTCATGTTATTKTTGGGAGTTAAAAGTGTATTTATAACTATAGAAGTATATTTAATTGAGAGCAGATGTCTGAAAGACAAATCATATAACCAGATATTGATTTATATTGCAGGAGTGACATTGAAACCTGAACCTGCTTTCACATTCAGTAAGTCCTTGTTCTGTTCCAGAAAGAAATTACCATATAATGATGCTAATTTCCATTACGGATACTCTGCTTAATGTTTTACCTTCCAGATGATGAATATGATGTTAGTGAAGATGATTGGATAATATATCATCACAAGGAATACTACTTCAGTAAGGAAGCAATGCCTATGGAAAAAGCAAGGGATTTTTGCAAGAAGAATGGTGGTGATCTTGCTGTCATTGAGGGCGAAAGTGAAAGAACCTTTCTCTGGAAATACGTAAGAAAAATATTTTATGTCAGAAAAGAGTAATTCTTTGTAGTASTGAGAGACCTTTATCAGCTGACTTCTGGTATGTTAGAAAGTGTTCCTTGTCAAAATCAAAGCCATCTATAATGGGCTTATCTACTTAAAAAATTTAACATAGTTATTATTTTGATTAATTGCCATATGCAGAAAAATTCTGAGCTTTGTTGCTAGAATAACGTGAATGCAATGCTCAAGACCCCTTTCCTACTTAGATGCAAATTACAGTACATTTTTGTTGTTTTTCCACCTCATTCTGTTTATAAAATTCAAGCAAAGTTTTTCCCCTCTTTTATAAACAACTGGTTTTAAATTTTTGATAAAATGTTTAAGTCAGAATACTTTCTAATATGAAGTGAATAGCCTGATGATTTTACAATTCTTCGGAAAAAGTTTCTGAATTTCTGTATTTTCCGAGCATAGTCTTTCCCTTCATTCTGCTTTTCTGTTCGCCTGTATATTGGAAATCAGTGAAAAGTTTTGAATTTGTGCAGATCAGGCACATAGTCCCAGCAACTCCATGCATGTTACATACTATGCAAATTGTGCGACTGAAACTAAAAATGGTTTTGAGACCTTCGTTATTTTATTTGAAAACTGTTCACTTACATTTCCTTAAAATACTTTTTTTTTTTTTTCTATTTTAGTGTTTCTATAAAAACTTGGGCAATAACTTTTATATTGGCTTAAGCGTGAGCCTTGATAGAACATTCAGGTAAGTAAAGAAGAAGCAAAGACACAAACAGGTGTGTCGAATATCATATATGAAGTGTGAATTTTCAATATGACTTCAATAAGAGGTCACTGAAGTTCAGTAACTGACAGAACTGGTCGATGGCTGTATCTTGGCAAAAAGTTTTGTGACTGTGATCCTCAGGGTAACACTCATCCCGCGACCCTCGCACTCTCTGTTTCCCCTTCTCTGGTGCTGGACTCTGCATTTGTGCTGGTGGGAAAGAGGTGCTTGCTGACACTCACTGCAGTGTTGTCCTCTTTTCCATGTTAGATGAAGGAAAAAACAGGTTGGCAGTCTCTAGGGATTTTCCAAATGGTAGCATCACCTTACTTGCAAACATTGTGGAGTATTGAAATGATTGAAAAACAAAACAAAAAAGAACAGCCCTCCAAACGTGGACTGAGGCATCTCAATGTTCTTTTTAGAAATTAAACATAAGCATGGGAGAACTCATAGCCCTTACCTGGAAGGTAATTTCCAGATGCTTGCAAAGTCAGAGTCCCAGACAAGACAGCTTCAGGCTATGTGGAGTCATGGCTCTTCTATAAATGTCTTCAGAAGTAAAATGCCCTGGGAACATCCCAAATATTCCTTGGGCCTCAGGTGCGTTACAGACATGCTTCCCTTGCTTCTGCTGTGGATGCTGCTGCTTTTYTGTCTTCAGTGCTGTCTCCTGAGATTTCATGCCTGGTCAGATGAGTCTCAGCCTCTCCGTCTCTGTCTTTCTCCTGTCCTCTCCTGTCCATCCAGTCTGCAAGCCACAGAGAAGGGAAAGCTGCCTTTCCTGGAACTACTGCTTCCTACACCACAACCAATGCTCAGAAAAACAATTTTGTTTGGTTTTCTCTGTTCCATCCTTAATTTCTCCTTTCTGTTCAATGATGGTGTCATATTCTCAGTCTACTACACACATTTTTTTCCTATTTTACTCAAGAAGATTTGCAAGTAGAAATAGGCACTACCTGTTGTATTCCTTATTTATATTTTTATGTGTAAAAATACACATACAGTTGGCTTAGTCTCCAAAACTCACACACTTAGATAAACACTTTTTTTTTTCACTTCATCCTTGGCTATTTTGAGAATTTTTTTTTTTTAATTATTAAAGTAGGAAGTATAGGAAGTAATTGTTGCAGAACTGAAAGCAACAGTTACACAATCTAAGCTTCATTTAAACAAAATGGCTCCTAGATATCCCCAGCATGTGGTTCAAGGATCTTGCCTACCCTTAAAGGGTCTTCTACTACTGTTTGTGGCTCTAGAAAATTACTAAACTAAGCTTTGGTTTCTACTGCTGTGCTCCAGGTCACAGTACTGCACGGGCTGTTTTTGTTTGTTTTGATTTTAAGGAAAAAAGTTATCAGTGCTCAGGGACCAAGAAAGTTTGGGGCACTGATGGGATTAGTGCAGAGTYGGTCCAGGTCAACAAACTAAACAGTTGACATAAAGATATTTTTTATTAATTGTAAGTGGGTGACCTTGTTTTTCTTTTACTAGAGAACAAAATGTCTTGTTAGCAATAATATTCAAAATTTTGTTTTAAAATAAAAAGTTCTAATGTGTCCCTTAAAAAGAAATATTAACTTCTTTACTGACAGCGTTTATTTCACACCACGATTTTTTTTCAGATGGATGGATGGAAGCCCTGTGAACTATGTTGCTTGGGCACCAAATGAACCCAATTTTGCAAATGATGATGAGAACTGTGTGGTCATGTATTCCCAAACAGGTGGGCACTGTAACAACATGCTATCTACATGGTACGATATGGGCTTGGGAGGCTGTATGTTCACTACTGGTAGGTTATAATACTGAGCAAAGTGATGACTAATAGAGGATTTTAAAAACTTAGGTGATTAATTTTGCTGTATTCTTTCACTTACGCTCTTTAAAATAAATCAACTCTATGCAGTTAACCTTATGGATTGCATCTGGAATTTGATTCCTATCTTTGTCAAAAATTTTCAGCATGAACAAATCAATTAAGCATCAAACCATCTGCAAATAGAGTCAATATTATTCTCTTCTTTAACCTTTGTCCATTTTATTACTGTCTCTCTTAAATACCTGCTGTTATCTTCTGTGTCATTACTAACAATGCAGTGTAATTTGTAGTCTAAACATCTACAGCTGAGATAATCTTCCCATGCTCTCTTAATGGTCAGTGGAAGGACATAGACACCTCTGCTGAGCAGATGCTATGTCCTGTTTTAGATAGCTCCCTTAAGACAAGAAGAATTATAACTGTACCTTTATTGAACTGTAATGACAAGATCTCTACTGAGCATCGGGTGTGATTATCTCCGCTATAGATATCTACCTAGAGGATATCTGCAGTGATGAGATGAATGCTTGTTTTTCCTCTCAAATACAAACACTGCAATCATTTCTACTTCCTGTAATAGATTTTTTTAAATATAAAAGAACATATTTTCTTCCCAATCTCAGTTTGATTTTTGTTTTCCTTTTTATCCTAATTTCCCTTCAGGTACGTGGAATGATCTCAACTGTGGCAGTGTTGAGATGTTCATCTGCGAAAGGCACAATGCCACTGTTCGCCCACCCGTTGTTCCCACTTCACCACCACCACAGGGGGGTTGTCCAGAAAACTGGGTCCTGTTTAATAACAAGGTGCAGTATTAAAGGGCAGTATATTGTATTTTAAAAATAACAGAATAAAAATAATTGCTGGTTTAATTTTTCACATTTGTATCAGAGATTTGGATTATCATGAAATATATTCTAGCTGTGTATATTAAAGAATCTAAAGTGCTCTGAAACGGAAATGTTAGCCTCTATTGGGACCAAAGAAGCTACAGGAGAGGTCTTGAGCCATACATGAGATAGGCTTCATTTTRTAGTTATGCTATTTTTTGATGTTTCCAAAAATGGTGAAGCAGTTTTCCTCATATGGGAGCACAACTTCAGAGCCGTTGGATGTTTTCTGCTACTATGCTCGGTTTATCTGGCTGTCACAGGTCCCTTGGACATTTCTTCATCCTGTTGTTGTTGCTGTCTGTTAAGCTACTGAGGGACCTTCTACGAGCATACTTATTAGTTTCTTTATATTACCCTTGTTAAAGTTTTAAAGTAATTCATTTATAAGCATTGTCAGACTTCATAAGATCACTCTCAGTACTCTCAAAAGTCATTTCAGTATATGTATTTAAAAAATATAATGTATTAAAATATGATTTTCATCAATGAAGTTATAAAAGAAAAATATGCATTCCTAAGAATTCAGCTAGCAATAATGATCATCCATATCTACTTCATCTAGCTCCATATCTCTTTCTTTTGGCTAAGTATACAATTTCAGTTTGTCAGGGTTCTTCTGTTTAAGGTGCCGGGCTGCTGTCTTCTCTTTCTTCCCTTCCCTCTCAATCATGAGGAAAAGAGGCACAAACTCAGTTTATGCCCTTCTACAGAACCACTGACTGGTTAAGGTTGGAAGGGACCTCTAGAGATCATCCAGTCCAACCCCTGCTCCAGCAGGGACACCCAGAGCACGGGGYACAGGGTGGCATCCAGGCGGGTTTGGAAGATCTCCAGGGAAGGAGACTCCACAGCCTCCCTGGGCAGCCTGTGSCAGGGCTCTGTCACCCTCACAGGAAAGAAGTTCTTCCTCACCTGGAGATGGAACTGCCTGTGTTTCAACTTGTACCCATTGCCCCTTGTCCTGTCACCGTTTTACAGTTCTCTCTAAAGCTGATATGTCTCTCTCTTCCTTATCCTGGAAGGGAAACTCCCAGAGTCTTCTTCCTTGACTCSTCTCTGAGTCCCCACTTCTCATGTCATGGAGAGACCTTTCCTTCACTAACCTTATTTTCCCCAGGTTGGTTGTATATTTAAATCAGCACATTCCTGGTTATACGTAGCTTATAATAGATCATATTGCAAGGAATGGTAAATTCACAGTTTTCTTGCTAGTGTGAGAATCATTCTCATTCTGTGATTATCCTACGGAAAGTAGGCATGGTGTCACAAGCAGGGCAACTGGAAGCCAGTTTGTTTAGCTGCAATAACATGCATTACCCTTGTTGCCCTTACTCTACTCTTTTTCCAGAGATCTTGGACATTCCTCACACAGAAATGATGAAGAACCGTTGTGTTAGATTACATTCCACTAAAGTTGTTAGACTGAGGTGTTCTGTCTYTTAAGTGTATGCCAAAAGTGCAGGTTTATCCTAGGATATAAATTTTTCCCCTAAAGACATTTTGAAACCAGAAAAGATTGTTAGAGCAGCACATCTCCCTTCTTATTTAAAGAAAAATCAAGTTTATATCTTGATTGTTACAAACAGAATAGTTATCACCAGAAAAGCTCTCTAATTACAGCTTTGATACAATTCTGTTCTTCAGTGTTTCAGAATATTTGGCCTTGATGAAAATGATACGCTGACGTGGCATGCCGCCCGGAACAATTGTATGCACTTCCAAGGAAACCTGGCTACAATATCAAAAAAGGAAACACAAGGTATAACATACATACATACCTTTCTCTACAAGATGAGGCTTCATGTCATTAAAAAAAAACCCTTCTGCAGTCTATCTAATGGCAATATCAAGTTATGCTGAATGAGCAAATTTTAAGTTTGAAAAAAATATTTGCAAAGATACTAGTGTCCTGATTAAGTTTTAAAATTATAGGTTTGAGGCTAATATTAGGACTGACATAAATTGTTATTGTTCAGATGTTAAGATTTTATAGCAGAGGCTTATCCTGTAATAAATACCCCTATATTAATTTTGAAGTTTGAATGCACAAATAAAATAACACACAAAGGGAATAAAACACAGGGAATTGTGGAATACAATAGGCAGAGTAAATTACAGCTAGCTGGTGGTTTAAGTGCTGTGAGTGTCAGTGGAAGACATACCCTTAGGCAGCAGATGGTCCTAATGCTGGAGTCCCAACTTTCCTCTTTCTCCCACTTTCCCCTTGTAAGAATATGCACATAGTTTTTACATAGTCTTATTTGTGTTATGACTCTTTAGAAATTAAGTTATTAACTCTGATTAGCAAGGAAGTTACTAAAGGAGAAAATGGAATACACAGTTTGAAAAAGTCATTTTCTCTGTGTCTAGTCACAGTCTACATGATGTTCTGAATAATTTGTGTATATAATACCTTCAAAATCATTTAGTGGGCTTCCTTAGATGACATTTAGAAAATATGCATATAAATTCCTCAAAAAGATCTAGAGAATCATTTTATGTTAAAAACCTAGGTTTAAAATTTGCCCATGTTTTAATTTTATTCTTTTTTTATTTTAGCATCGGAGGAATATCTAGTCTTTTTTTATATAATACTAAGACCTTATTAAAAAACAAATCAAAGCAAACAAACCAAAAAAAGATCAAAACAATGTATATACATTATTTGACTTACGACAAATAATTTGACTATTATTTGACATGACTATACATCAAAATGTATAGTCCCTGCTCCAGCTACCCTAGAATCTGTGGTGTTAGGGGATTGATGTATTCACTTTTTCTCTTTATATAATTTTTCTCTTTAGCTTTCCTCATGTCCCTCTTAAAAGATGCTGCAACTGATGCTTGGATTGGACTGAATGACATAAACCAGGAGCACACATACTTATGGACTGATGGAAGCCCAGTTTACTACACAAATTGGGCAAAAGGCTCCCGAAGTTATTTTAGTAAGGTAAACATTATTTCTGGTTATTATTAAATCATCATAGTTTTGGTAGATGAATTAAAATGCACATAGCTATAACTGTAATTTCTGTAAGGTTTGCTTTCATAAATGAAACCTTTTTATTAATCTTATTTCTTTTGAAAGCACAATAATCACATTGTATACCTACGTTTAAGCATTTTTTTAAAAAAAAAGTTCTGTATTTTGTCATGATTCAGTGTGAATCCGTTGTAACAGACGGTTGTTTGGAAGCCTTGTGCAAAACTCGGTCTAGTGAGCAATTTTCTTCACTTTACCATGACTAATCAATACACTGAAATAACAGCAACTGTGTCATTTTGGGACACGGTGGATGTTATCTAGAATTGATGAAAATATTCCTAGAACTGTGTATGTTTATATTTCTTATYTCTGAGCTTATTGAAATAATAGATTTATACCATAAGAAGGAGAATCTGGATCCTCCTTTATTACTTTTGTCTTTCCCCCCATACCATCAAATCTTCCTTTTGAAATATCTGTTCYGCATGCTTTGAAGTTTTTATCACCATTATGCCAATTTATATTTAGTTGTCAAACAAAATTGAATGTTATTCGATAGTTTTAAGTGGTTAATGTAGAACTGGTTGTGAGTACACCTGTTTAAGTATCCTTGAGAGCTATGTTGATGGGAGATACACACACAGTTTGAAACTGAATAATAAATAAAAGTTGAYTTTAAATGTTGTTCCTATCACACACATCTATACACTCATGCATGCATATGTAGAGATGGTCCCAGATGCTTGTTCTGTGCTGTACTCTGCAGCTCCCTCTGTGCAGTACAAGCTCTTCTATGACTGAGTTATAAATGAGTATAGTCATACTACTGCCTGTGACTGTTGCTTGCATGAGTTCATTAAAATGTTCCTCATTTACTCATTTATGTGTTTCTGTGTGTGATAGGTGAGTCTATCAGGCAGGAATAGGAATATTTCTTATTATTCTATTTTGTTAATCTCATTTTTCTTCTAGGATGACTGTGTCTTTATGATTAAGAACCCTATAGAACAGGCAGGAAAATGGAAAGATGAAGACTGTAAATCAAGCAAAAGCTATATATGCCAGAAAACAACTGGTGAGTTCTCTTTCACCCACTGCTAGGACAGCTGATGATTTATTGCGGTTATGTCACACTGGTAATAAAGTGACTTTCTCATATTCAACCCTATTTTTAGTAAAATTAATATGATAGTATCATATGCACTAGGGAACATTTTAATAAGATGAACATGTACTTTACTTTCTGGAAAAAAAAAGCTCTTAAGCATTCCTATTTTAAACACTGGACCAGTAAATTAAAAAAACAAAATGTATCACTATATGTTGTACTATTTTGATGGTGAGGAAGGAAACAGATATATCAGCAAAGCATTTTGGTTTTAGAGAGGCAAATTCTTCAAAACCGAAWTTTTACTGTTAGGCTTAAAAGTGTCGCAACTTCTTCTTTGGAAAATTGCCACATTTGATTTCCAGGACAGTCTTACTCRGATAATTTCTTCAGAAGTAGTTATATCCTTCACCTTATTCACAGTGTGCCAGTTCTACCTTCTGTTACTTAACTTAACCCATATCTTGTTAGTAATAAACTAATGCTAATATATCATGGAAGAAGTGTGAGAGACTGTTCCCTTTAATGCCCTACACACTTACATTATTCTTTGGAAATGTCTRTCTCATATAGGCATGTTCCTGGAGGTGCTATAAACATTTATGGTAAAATGCAATCAAAGATCATTCTATCAAAGATGAGAAAATGTTCTTACAGAATATGGAACTGTRGCTTTCGCTGGTGTAGCAAAAGCTCTGACTTTCTTAACTTGTTATTGCAGACTCTCAATTACTTGACTAGTACTGTAGATCCTCTTTCAATGATAATGTCTACACATTACAAAGCAGGTGTCTTTTCTTCTTTGTTCCAGACCCTAGATTGCACAGTTCCCAACCCACGGTTCCAGTCTTTGGCTTTAATAATTATGGTGATGACCGCTACGAGATCATCAATTACAAAATGAGCTGGGAGGCAGCACAAAAGTACTGCAGAGACCAATATGCAGAACTTGCCAGCATTTTGGATCCTTATGTTGATTCTTACCTGTGGTTACAAATGTTACACCGTGGGGAGCCTGTATGGATTGGTCTTAACAGCAACACGGTAAGATAATCAAATACTTGTGCTAATCATTCCTATACTCTAGATCAGAATAGATCTTCCTGATTCTTGTTGAGGTACCTAATTTCCCTTGGCTTCAGAGGTTTTAAACTTCTAAACATATGGCCATAGTATAAGAAYGCTCGCAGCCTCTATTTCAAAGGATGTAGCTGCAGTAAATAGTGGCTTCAGCGGTAAAAGTGGCTTGGAAGTTTTCAGTTCCTACACCATGGTTTGCCACACACTCATGCACTTGCACAGTTATTTCTGAGGACACAGTGAAAACSTGGCCACAGAAACAGCTGCTTCTTCTTGAGGTTATTTTTACTCATATTGTTCCTATTTACTTTTTAAAAGGACTTGAACTGGGACAACTGAATAACTGGCAAGGTGCAGCAGAGAGGCAGGATCAGGCATCTGGAAATGGGAATATCTCAGACTGGTTTCAAAGCTAAAAACTATGGACAGCCTCACAGTAAAGACTGCCTTAAATGGGCACATGGAGAAGCATATATAAAAGGCATATGAAAAGGACATGAAAAATGATGATGCAGTTGGATGCATGTGCAAATAGATGTCAGAGGAAAGCAAAAAGCACAGGTAGAACTGGAGCTTGGAAGAAAGTGGGAATGAGAGAGGGCACAGATGCTGAGGGGAGAKGAACAGGAGTTTTAGTGGGAGGAGGTACAAGGAAATCTGGATTAGATAAGAAGATAGGAAGAAACCTGGTGAAAGATTTCAAAGGCAAACAGGACTGTTAAACTGGTAGAAAGAACTAGATGGGAGCCAACATCCAAAGACTGAAAGAAGGAGTCAAGTAGCACTGGACAAAGTGAGAGGAGCTAGCTATGTCTATGCTGTGGGTCATCCTCTGCAAATCATGGTGAAATATGCTGAAAAATTATGTATGCTCAGCCTTTCTGTCTCATGTAAGAGATAGGRCCTTGTAAGGGTTGGAAATCTGTTACAAGTGCTGTTGGCATGAGTGGCAAAGGCCTGTAGAGTATGCCGAARGGCTCTAGTCCTAATGGGAACTATGTCAATATTCCTCCCTAGTGGAACTTCTGCTTTTTATTTTTGCTTTCTAAATACATAGAGGAGCCCTGCAGAAAGGAATACTAACATTTGTTTCTCTGCAATATTCATTTGATCCCTTTAAACATAAGTGTCATAAAATCTTMAATTCTATGTCCCTATTTTTACCATAAGGCCTTCTCGCATTTACTGCAGAGATTGAAGGTGTAAGTACTGGTTGTGTACTGACTGGACATATCTAGAACCACTGCCTCATCTGCTGTATAGAGGTAGAAAGGGTATTCATGACAGAGGACTAGTTAATGTACAAGAATCTGTGATTCTCCCATTTCCTTCTTTTAATTCAGTTCCTGTATATGAAATAATCTTTATTATCATTTGCTTTTAGAGTCACGGCCATTACATATGGTCAGATAGAAGAAGAAGCAGGTATCAYAACTGGGCAAGTGGAGAACCAAATAAAAACACAGCCTGTGTCTACTTAGACCTGGATGGTTTCTGGAAGACATCATCTTGCAATGAAACGTTTTTCTCTCTCTGTAAACAGTCTGATGGTAGGTTGTGAATGGAATAAGTGCCATTAGGGAGGTTGGAATTTATATTTGTGACTTTTTTTTTCAATGTTGMTATTCCACACAGGTAAAGATTGTTTTGTGATAAACCACTGCTTTTGTTCAGGTAGAATTCTCATATCCACTGTGTCTTACTWGAGTGATTTCCAAAGTTTTATAGATTACATTTCATTTCAAAGGCCAGTCAACACATGCAGGTCATAAATATAACTGCAACATTTCATGCTACAAGCAGTGGATCACAAGTGTACCTCAACAATGAATGACTGACATCTTAGGAATACATCACTGTCTGATGTTGTTTTCAAGATCTTATTATGCATATTACTTCATTCTATTTCACAATTTTTAAGTCAAAATAACCTGGCTGAAGACAGTTGCAGTTAAACTGCTGTAAACCTCCTTTAGTAGACTGGAGATTCAACCTCAACCAGGTTATTTATCATTAGTTTTACATCATTAATTTAATGTTTTATCRTTACTTTTGCCTATGGGATATTCTGTCTTTTGTCACATTCGTAGGTGCTACGTCTGGCACATGCTTCTGTTAAGACACCACTGAAATCTGTGTTTCTCCCTAACAGGGATAGTCCCTACTGAACCACCACAACTTCCTGGGAAATGTCCTGAACCAAAGCGTGGTAGGTCTTGGCTTCCTTTCCGTGGTCATTGCTACTATGTTCACACCACTTCTGAAGAAAGCTGGCCTGATGCTTCCATGGCATGTATTCAGATGGGTGAGTGCCAGATTTTATTAAGAGATTATTCCAAAATAAAGAGCCAGTTGCAATCTAAATCTCAGTTTGTTATCTTCTCATCTTCCCATCATTTCTAGTAAAAACTTAAGAAACTTGGAGATAGACAGGCCRGGGGATTTATTCTTTATGGATTTCCCATTAACACTTTAGGTGGCCTGAAAGCCCCTGCTTGCATCTCTGAATCTCCTGCTCTGTAGTACCTTGTCTCTCCACTCATTCCATCATTGTTTTGCTTTTTCTGTTCATTTTATCCCCCTTGATAGCCTTTCTGCTTTTTGTCTTTCCTTCCTCACCACAAATTCTTAACTCTSTTCATAGCAGGTCTATATTCCTAGTCTCAACTTGGTGCAGTCTTCATCAGGTTGAATTCAGGTCATACAAATAGAAATATACAAACACATACTGAGCCTAGGGATCAATCAAATCTTGTGAATTTGGTGCCAAAATTTGAAGATTTTTTTTAACTAAGAGATAATATATAGATGTGTGTGCATCAACTATAATCTGTGACTAATTTAAATTTATTATCAAACTTTTTAATAATATGGTAAAGTTGATCATCGTGAAGCATGGCATAATTCTTGAATGAGATAAATAATTTCCAATTAGGAAAGATGAAAGGAAAATCTTTCTGAAATACATTTACATATAATATTTAATKGATATTTTAGGTGCCTCTCTGGTTTCCATAGAAGATGCAGAAGAAATGAACTTCCTCTTACTTTACTTGTCTTCGATTGCAAGTGACTTCAGAAAGTTTTGGATAGGATTGTTCAAAAATATTGATGGTAATTATTTCACATTGCATATTGAGCTGAAAATACTCAAAAGTAAACAGAGGGAAATCAACTGTTAAATATTGAATTGTTTTTTCTTCTAAAATACTTAAAAATGTAGGATATCAAGAGGTCTACATCTTTTTTATCTTTAATTAGAGTAGATTTCAATCAGAACAAAAAAGTTTCACCTTTTAACTACTATAGTTAGTTGTTTCCTGTCACATTTTTATGCCAGTTGTTTGACATTTAATTGGTGTTAGCCTTTTTAAGAAAATCATTGTCCTGCAATTAAAAGCTCAGGCACCCTTAAACAGGGTTAACACCCTTAAACTTATACGAAGAACCTAGCAAAATTTTAAATCTATTTTTTCTTTTTTTTCCCCATAAATTTTTCCATGATTTTCATTCACTGGTGGACTATTTCATCCAAATTACGTCAGCTTTTAACCGTACATGTGGGTCAAAATTTCCAGTGAAAAATACTGGTGAAAGCAAATCTAATTGCTTTATGTATCATAATAATTCTAAAGCTTTTTTTCACTGRTAGTCTTTGAAAGTCCAGCTACAGAGCAAGTCTCAAATGGGCTGCTGTTAGCTGCCCCTTTCCATTGACTCATGCTGCCCGCAGTATCAGGCATCTTGCTGCATGATAGACAAGTTAGAGCTGCTCTAGCTGAAAAGCTAACTGTTCAAAATAAATGATTTTGTCCCTTGGTTGACCCACTGCTTTGCCACATGGGTGTCAGTGCAAACACAGGCAGCAGGAACATGCAGGTACAGAGCACACCTTGCAGAACACACTTGTGTCAAGTACAAATTCTACCATGAGATGTTGTCATGGAAGTACACCTTAAGGGAAATGAAATGGTATTTATTCTCACTTTATGGGCCTGAGTATGAAAAGAGCAAGTGGTTATTAYTTAAAAGGTCTGATTAAGTCTCTTAATTGATAATTAATTAATTGATTTAATTCTAATAAAAGAGCTGTTCACAGATCTYAGATCAATTTACAAAGAAAATTAAAGGGTTGCCTTGCACTGGCACTCTGCTTCTTCCCAAGGTGTCCAGGCACTGGTGAGGGCTGGCTTTGATTAAAAGTACTCAGGCTATCAGCTCATTTCCTTCATGCAGCACTGACAGCTGTAACTGTGTAGGGTAATGGAGTTAACTRTGTCTGTTTACTGCTTATGAGAACTTATATTTGATTCATTCTTATCTGAACATCTCTGACAGTTAAAGAGAAATGTTATGCTAATGTGCTGATCTAATCAAATAATAAGTTCCATGCCCAGGTGTAGTAGTGCCTGGTAGACAAGAAATGATTTCCCACTTCATCCACTCAGTAGTTAATACTTTTGATTTCAGGGGAATGGACATGGACTGACAGCAGTGCAGTAGACTTTGTCAACTGGGAGAAAGGAGAACCTACAGCACATTTTAATGAACACTGTGTTGACATGGATGTTGCAAATGGAGCCTGGAGGAGCTATTACTGCTCTGTTGATCAGAATTTTGTTTGCAAAATTCCCAAGAGTAAGTTCTGCATTCTGTGCGSTTGGATATGTTAGAAATAATGAGTAATACAACCAGGGCTTGTGCAATGCACTAATGCTTATGCAGATGTTCCATGATTGCATTAAGTCCAAAGTATCTCTTCCTAACAAGAGCGAGAAATAATGTTGGAGAACCTGAGGATCACTGTTTCTTTTTTCAGGGGAGAACATATCACATGGTGAGGATACAGGGGAAAACTAAGAGCCATTAGAGTTAGGCTGCTAGTGGCAGTAGATGATGAGTAGATAACTGAACCAGTGCTGAGAAGACAAAAAGGCATACTCCTTACAACTGAACCAAAAGGGAGCAGTGGGAAGTTACTGAGATTCTGGAAAGGAATGCAGGTGCTCCCAGTGGGATGAGGAGGAGTGTCACGTGCCTGGGGTGTGTGGGATGGCCAAGTAGAAAGCACAAGATGAGAGTGGGCCCAGTTTGTTTCTCTCAGTGTCAAAGGCACGGGGAGATCTGCAAGGACTATCAAACAGTCTAGTACCTTTGGTTTTTAATGTCTTTGGCCTTGTATTCTTTGGGTGTTGATCCACGAGATATCCAAATATGTTACAGATTAGGTAAAATGCACCTTGTGTGCACAACAATGCTGTATAAGATGAGAAATAGGTAACTGCACACTTGTAGTTAGCGTGAGTCCCCATGCCCATATGGAGTCCGCAGTGTTTGCCCAGATCAGCTGGGACACAGCTTGAGATTCGTAACATCTGCCCTGGGCAAAGAGATCCACTGCACAACTATATGAGATGAAATGTGCAAACAGTTAAAACTCCTGCTACTGAATGCTCCAGATGTTCTGAGATGGCAAAGGAGTCATCCAAGTACTCTGTAGGGCTGCCCAGCCAGTCCTGTGAACAATTAACTAGATTAAACTTCCTGAGAAATGGAGGGAGGAAAAGGAAGTTGCCTAAAAATATCACTTAAGTGCTTTCAAGTACAAAAGTGCTTTCACTTTTACAAGTGTAAACATTTGATTTTCTCAATGTGAAGTCCAGATACCATGGAAGTATGAAAACTTCCAATGTCTGTCTTACCCCACCAAAAAGAGATTGCTCAAATAATGAGTCAAAATATTTTTTAAAGAAATATTTTAGCAGGAATATATGAATGATTTAGCTTGAATTGTAAGGAAAAGTATTTTCATATATTTTTCTCTCTATAAAATATATATATTTTATTTTAAAGTTCCTACCATCGAACCAACTCATCATTCATCGATCCATAGAGGTAGGTTTGTTTTTTAAGCACATTATGTACATATTTTTTATTTACTATTAAAACTGTCTTCAGGTAAGTTTCAATTGAATTCAGCTCAAGCTTTTATTTTAAATTTCTTTGAATGAAGAACTTCTGACTCAAACTGATTGTCCTACTGAACTAAGATATTTTTGTTGTTTTCTGAATGAACTGCAGTCAATAACAGTCCTTGTAAAATTAACATTTAAAAGACCAAGCTCAATTTTACCTCATCCATAAAGAACTCACAGCAATTTCATTTTTGGTTATCATTGTTCAGTATTTTTGCAGTCAAACCAGTTAGTTTACTTAGGGAAAATTTGAAGGTATACAATAGCATTCTTTGTTCATTTGTGGTAACTTTTTTTTCTTTTTAATTTTCACAGCATCAAAAAATGAAGCTACTTCAGCATCTGTACATGGATTTGGGGGGATGATTTTTGTATTGATTTTTCTTATTCTAGCAGGAACTGGCCTCATAGTCTTTATTTTCTATAAAAAAAGACATGTGCAGCAAACAATCACAGCCAGTTTTGAAAACGCCATATACTGTGGTACAGCTGATCCTGGAACTCATGACTCAAACTGTCTTGTGACCAACATGGAAGAAAATGAACAGGTAGTGGTTTAATGAGCAAAGTGATTTATTTTGGAAGAAATGAAAGCCTTGGAATACAAGAATTCTTAGAGGASAGTGGTTTTCTTCAATGGAAATTCTAGTCTGTTTTGCACAGGGTGCTTTTTGTTCTATCTACTAGCAGGACTTGCAAGCTCTGAATCTGCTCAGAAACTAGTACCTGGAGAGACTGTTGAGTGTATTCTGAAACCTGGAGCTGCACTGCATTAGAGAACACTCTGACAATTTCCATCTCCACATGGTACCAGCATCACCTCTTGGCCATAAGGAGAATGTGCCCATTAAGTTAACTGTGAGRAGAAGCTCCTAAGTTTGCTTCAAAAAACACATCCCTGTGTATATGAATCCTGAAAATGTTATGCCCTGAATTCTTGGACAAACCGTTAGAGTTGCCCGGGTTGGATCTTCTGGAGCTCACCTGGCCCAGTCCCTGACTCAAAGCAGGAGCAGGTTGATCAAGGCCTCAGCAAGTTAACCTACATGGGCAACCACTCCCAGTTCTTAGCCCTATTTTTGTTATTTTTTTTCTCTTTATATCCCATTGGCTCTGTCTTCTCTGTAATTCTCCTTTATCTAGCTGAAGATAATGGTTAGATCTCCTATTAGTCAATAATTCTCCCAATTTTCTCAGCCTTTCCTCTTACATTGTATACCTATACCCTGGGGCTCCTACTCCTCTTGGAGTGGCCCTTGGCTATACTCACTCCAGTCTGTCAATATCTCTCATTACCTGGACAGAACTGAGCAGAATATTCTGAATGTGGCCTCAAGAGTGCTGTGTAGAGGGCAATAATAGCCTTGATCTAACTATGYCCTCAGTAATGTAGCCCTCACCTCTATTTGAGTTTGAGCTCACTCACAAGTTCCCTGAGTGGCCAGGCTGACATACTGCCTTGCCTACTTCTTTTCTTGCACATTGTACCTTTCTTATGCTTTTAGGAGGCTGTTCTTGCAGATTAGGAAACTATCCTTTTCTCTTTGACAACCATCGTCACTGATTTTCATTTGGATTACTGTTGTATAAACTCAGGTCAGAAAGCTTCAAAATCCAGACCGCATATGTTCTCATAGTGGGATTTTTTWTTATTATTATTATATAACACATAACTGTAATATATAAAAACATACAACAGTCAGTTTTCACCTCAAAATATTATTTAATTTTATTTCAGAACTTCTGTAAAGTTTCTGTTGCATCTGAATTAACATGTTTTCCTCCTCTACATGTGGCTGACAGGAAGGAAAGTGTTAATTACTTTTCTCCTGTTAAATAGCGAAAATAAGCAGTGAAATATGGGGTATAATAATAAGTTTGAAATGTATTGTAAATAAAAATGTTTTACTGTTTAAATAACAGAATAGGGACCTCAGAGTTCTGCCGAAGGTAGGATCAATTAGAATGAATTATGCTTAATTCGTAGCTGATAAAACTATGTAAAATTTACTCTTGAAATCTCCAATATCAGTGAAGCATTCCATACTTTTTTAGGCCATTAATTTATGGCCTAAAAAATCCTGACAACAGCGAACGCACAAAAAGATGAATTTACCAGTGATTAATCCACAGATTAATAGATTAATCTAATCCATAGATTAATCCACAAGTGTGAGTCTGTCTGAATTGGTTCAATAGAATCTAGAAGTCAGGCTGGATAAACTGTTACCAGAAAACCATACACCAAAAAGAGGAAGAGTATAAAAGGAAAAGTTAGTTTGTGAAAGCTTCTAATGACTCTTAAACTTTATAGAATAGTATTCTTGTAGTATCTGTGAAAGCTAAGAAACTGGGGACACCAAATTTTGCTGGGGCTCTACAAGAATACTAATGCACACAAGCATGCATAGGGGGTTGTGTAACTCAAATCACATCCGAAATAGTGATGGATGATATCTGATAATGAAGGCTATAACCCTCTGAAGGACCTTCCAAGCTACGAGCCTCCTTGGAGCCAGTGGAGCATCAGTCTAAGCCTCTGTGCCTGCGTGTATAGTTAGGATTTGCTTCCAAGTGTTGTACAACCAGGTAACTATGGATGAGTGTGTGCAAGAGTGAACTGTGTGAGTGAAAAAAAGAGAATATGTGTTGTGAGTAGTTTTCTGCTATTAATTAAAAGAGCTTGATTCTATCAGTAAAAGCAGCTGAGTGAGTTAAAAAAAAAAAAAAAGAAATTTTGTTATTAGCAATACCTGTTACCTGCATTTCCCTCCCAGTTTGATATCCTGTATGTGAAAGGAGAATTTTCAACAAACTTGGTTTGTGCATCCTGCCTTGATGCTTTTCTTAAAATTTTTGTTCTATGCTATTCTTTTGATTTGATATTTCTTTCCAAAGAATTACCTGCCTAGGCAGCTGTCTCTACTTTGCACTCCTGCAAGGGATGATGCCTTCACAATTGTAATGTTTTGTACTTAATCCTTATTCAATTAAGCCCTAATTATTCCAGAACTTTTCTGCAGCTGATAAAAATTATTTCTAGTATTAAAGCTGCCTTTCTATACCAACAGCCTTTTGGTCCAGGGGTACAATCTGTATTTCCTTTGATTTAATCAAAATGCTCACTGCAAGAAGATAAGAAAATATCTAGTCTTGCTTCTAAGCCTTCAGAGCCTGCAGCAGAGTGAGTGTTGGCACCACCGCATGGCACCGCTCCCTGTCTTGAAGGTGCATTTCTAAAGAAAATGGWGGCTGTTGTTGTATTTCATACCGTAGCTTATAGACCTACTCCAAGAGTGCTCCTCAGACAAGACAGATATAGGACTGCCTATTTTAAGTGCACTGACTATACTTAAGGTATGAGATAAAWGCTGGACTGCCATGATTTGCCATACTGAAGTGTTAGAGCACATAGCAAGAAACAGATAAAGGGGAACTTCAGCATCAAAAAGCAAGCTTTTAAAAGCATGGAGGCACTTGCACATTTAGGCTACAATACCATGTGCTGCAGCATAGCTTACTGTCCAGTTTTCATATAGATTTGGGCTTTATGTGCAGCATAATACCATTTGTAAAATGCCTCCTACTATATATATAGAATGTGGAGACTTAGTTTCTCAGATCCTTATCTGCCCTTATATTAGGGCATTTGAGAGAGAATGTCTAGACTTTTCTCAAAATTTCACTGCTTTATATCTGTAAGCTACAATTGCCACATGGCAGAAAGAACAGTAAATTCTTAGCTGGAACTTCTTACTGAGTATAAAGCAGTAACTCGACTTAGGGAAGTTCTTCTCTGTGGAAGAAGTCACCATCAGAAGGTGACACAGTTGTGGCAGAGATGTACGGAGGAGGATGGACCATTCCCCTCTTTTCAAAGAATACTAATTTACAGAGAAATTTGATGGTAGGATCGATATCAACAACCTGAAATGGCAAAGAAAATATTAGCAGCAGTTAGTTCCTTGCCTAAAGTAGGGATCTGAAAAGAAGTTTATGAATATGTTTAATTTTGCCATTTACATCTCTGAAAATAGATGATTAAAATAGGATGTGAAGCATAATTTGGAACAAAGTGAAGAATAATTTGGAACAAAATGTAAGAAAGGTATAAATAGAATAGACAGACATAGTTGTGAAATGAACTGGTGTCCTCCGAGCAGATTCCAGTGTGCAGAAGCTAGATTTTCTGGTGTCAATAGGAAAAGTTTGAACTGCTCTGTAAGCTAAAAGTTGTCCTGATGTCACTGGACAGGAAAAGTTAGGGTTCAATTTTCTCTCTTCTCAGCTGTGTCCTTATTTGACATCTCCAGTTTTCTCCTTTCTGTGACATTAGGCAGAGCTCAACCTTTCATTTACTCTCCATTGAATAATGATAGCTAAAGCATTTAAGAATATGTTTTGCCATTCTTCTGGCAAGAAAAGTACCTCTCATCTCAGGGGAACGCACACAGTGCAAGCATTATTGTCAATATTTCATTCTTGTCCAGACTCTTGATTTAGATGGATAGATGAAATTCGCCTCAGCTACATTTAGAACTAGTTGGCATAATTCTCCTTAACAGGCAAAAGTTAGGAACGTACATGCAAGCGTATAATTCATTGGTGTTGCTTAGATGACTTTTAAATGGGATGTGGTTGCCCTTGTTGGGAGTTGCACAGCAGGGCCTCAGAAGTGCCATCTTGGCAGAGACAGGACAACAAAGCAGGTAAAACACACTGGAGCCCCAGAAGCCCAGCAGCACATTCAGCCTCAGGAAAGTGTGTGAGAAAGGAGAGGTGGCAGAGAGCACAGAACATCTGTGGGTTCGTTCCTGATTTGTGTGGGAGCTCTGTGGTCTTTGCTAAGGTTCTCTGTGGCCTTTGCTGAGGCTCTGTGGTCTCTGGGAAGAAGCCGATATGGCTCTTCATTTTGCCCTCCCAAAGTCCTGCACTGAGCAGCACCTTCTAGAGGAGATGGCTTCTTCCTTAAAAGCAATGAGATTGCACTGAAAAAGAACAGGAATCAGACTCCTGAAGAAGCCTCAGGGGTGGTGGAAAGGAGGAGGTTTCTACCAGAAATATGAAGGAACTATATGTATGGAGGTTTTGCAATTCAAGAAGCCACTGAAGCAATACAAGAAGCTACAGCCATGGAAAGGGAAGAGATTTGCTTTCAACCCTATTTTTTAATCTAGCTTTTCTCAACAGATAGAAATTTTCTGCATCACATAAATGTGYCTTTGTTTCTGTTCTAAGAAAATGGCCTGTTAGAAAATGAAAACCCTTTTGATGTTGTGGGATGTGCTCAGCTTGAGGAAAACGGGAAGATAATTCCAGTTGCTGGATTTGGCCAACTTGGGGTCTACTCACAAGGAGAAAGTAAGAAAAATGGGGAATATAAAAGTGAAGAGGAAATGAATCAGCAGAGGAAATGGTGAGGGAATTAGCTGCAAAGAGGAGGGTATAAGAATAATAAGGATTAATTAGATGTCCCTCATCCCCTGAAGGATATCTCTTGCACCTCATATTGTATGAAAACTGCTGTTTATAACCAGATGGTGGGAACAGCAGCATTATCTCTTGGTGGTAGTAATTTTTTGGGCAGTTGCTGGTGGTGGTTCTTAGGTTGTCTCAAAACAAGATTCTGTTAAAGGCACYTTTTGCTATGTACTCTGTCCTAATAAACCATCTGAAAACAATAAAAGTTTAGGAACTGTTCAGAGTAAAATCTGTTTGCTTGCAACCTTTTTTTTAAAGGAAATGGGAAAACAAAAAAGTGCAACCTTCACACATTGCAAAGATCACATATCTGGAATAAAAGAAACCATCTCACTTCYTGACTAATTATTTGTCAATGCAGCTACATCTAGAGCATGTAACAGTGAAACGATTTCACCCTGCCTTGTATTGAAAATGAAGGGGAAATCGTTTTGCCACTAAAATATGACTGCATTATACTTACTTCATTAAGATGAGAAATTTAGTGATATAAAAACTTAGCATAATGACACAAAATAAGGAAGGAATTGTAAAAGAATGAGGAAGCTAAGAATGACATAAAAAGGAAGGAAATCCATAGCTGTTGTATGAAAGTTATTCATATTCAGCTAAAGAATCACAAGAGCCAAGCATATTCTGTGAACTRTTTTCTGTTAAGTGAATACTTTCCTTGCTTATTTTATGCTTTCACAATTTTTGGTACCTTCCAGCAT